AATTCCCCAGCCCGTCCTGCTGGCTGGGGGATTCTGGGTGGTGGAGTCCACCCGTCTTAAAGTCGCCAAGGTTGAGGAACCCTGCTTTAAATTGTCTTTTGCCTTAGATACTTCTGGTTTGAATATTTCTTTACAACAGATATTAACAGCAACAGGCTTTTTAAAAAAAACCAAACAAGTCACCTACTGGGACCCTGTGATTAGCACCCATTCACAGCTTTCCTTTCCATGAATGGTAGCTGTATTACAGAAGTACTTCCTGCTGTCTTGGTGGGGTCTCTCACAATCTGTATGGTTTCCAGCATTATGAGAAAGGAGAAAGGTTTTCCGTTTCTCTACTTCCCCCATACCATGCTTCATTTTATGTTGCTATTTCAAATCCAGGTTTGGGTACCTTTTTTATGAGCCGAAGAGTCTACCCATGATGGTCTTTTCTCACGGAGGAATTGTTTTTGTCCCTTGCCAATGTACCACTCTCCTCTTCTGCACATTCTACAGCTTCAGATATTCCATCTGAGGTGCGGTAAGCAGAATTGTGTATGAAACAGGTGCTTTACAATGGAGACATACCCAATGCAATGGCCAAGACATTTTTTTCATTTATAACCAATCATGTGTAGTTATGTAATTGCCTGTAGTCATTTTTCCACTGAGACATTATCTTCTCACTGGCATTATGAGAATCGAGGACCACTAGCATTCAGGGCTTATCCTAAAGCAATGCAGAGTGATTTCTTGACATCCTTCTTCCTATCTGTGGGCAGAAAAATGGAGGGGTGGGGGCAGGGAACTTCACCAAATTTATCCAGGTAAATGATGAATTCTTCAAATAGTTTTGGGGGTCAAAAGTATGACTTCTTTCTCCCTAACCCAATGTTTTTGTTTGTTTTTGGAACCGTAATTAGTAGCAGCAGGGTTGTTGGTGTCTGGCCACAATTTTTCATCATACACAATCTGCTGAACTAAGCATTTTGGGTGGGAGGGGTGCTGGCCATCATGGAAACAAATCGGTGGACAATAATTGGATACAGTTCTGAAAAGTGTCCTTTTTCTATGGCTGAGGCAAGAAAATGAAACGAAATTTCATCTTCTTAAAAGATTTTGCTCTGCTTCAGCTAAGTCACAGAGTACAGGGAATGCAGTTACCCAGGGTGTGTGCGCCTGTGTGCATATGTGTCTTCATGGAACAATAACTAGTTTTATACTACTGTTTAAAATGAGAAAGCAACTGCTTTTCATGTTTCTTTTTCTTTTTTTAAGCTGTCTTTTGGAGGAAGTGGAACTTAACATGATTAAACTGTTGGAGGATTTAAATTCAGTCAACTTATGTTCATTATAAACAATCCCAAATTCCTAAGCTAGTATGGTATGACTAACATATGTCACACACTACAGTAAGGCTGATGTACCCTTTAACATTTTAACAGTCCATCAGACATTAATGTGACTTAAACATCAAAAACAGGTTCATTTTGCCATTAATATCCTGAAACAAGAACATCTAATATACACATCCTGAGATTTAATCTGTAAACATAACCAAAAATGTCTGGGGTAGAGGGAGTTTTGTTTATATTTCAGTAGTGCTACTTCCATGAGGCATGAGTGGGCTATCTTTAGGGTTAACTTAAAAGGGTCTCTTTGTGATAGACTTCTGATGTTATAGAAGCCTTCTGTTGACATCCTAGCCCTTTCGTGGCGGCACCATCATTGCAGCTAATGATAAATGTAGCTAATCTCCACAAGGAAAATGTCAGCAGAATAACAGCACACAGGCAACTTATGTGTGTGATTGTACGTCTATCCTGTTTTTCTTTTTTCCTACTGTGTGAACTGGATGTGAAAGAAAGCAAACCACAACAGAAGCAACCTAAAAAAACACAACAGTAATAGTACAAGTAGAATTACAAGTTCAGATAATTTCTTTAGTAAGTAACAAAAGGGCAAACACAAGAATTGTGAATCTGGATGTGTACAGTCCAGTAGTCTTTTACATCAGCTTTCCTGAACCTAGCTTCCTCCACGTGGGTTGGGGCTGCAAGTTTCTAAATTCTCTGCCAACATGGCAAAAGGTTCTCTTGGCTGGGAATTCTGAGAGTTCTGTGTAGTCACCCATCTGGGGACATCAGCTGGTAAAAAGCGCAGTGTTTTGGGTCTCCTCTTTGTTCAAAGATATAGTCAACCAGCCACCAGTTCTCCAGAGACAGGACTCTAGAGAAGTTTATTAGGTTACAGGACGGATGCCTCCCCTAACTGAATCAGAAGCCTAGAACAGATTTCTACAACATTATGTCCTTCAAATATGGATTTTGGGGCACTTTTGCCTCCCAAAATCAGGGAAACATCAACTTGGGAAAAACTGATGAGGATCTACTTAAAAGCAGGAGCTACTTGCTCTTAAACTCCACTTATTTTCATGTTGGAATTTGTACAGTCTTCTCTTGAGGATCTGTTTAAGCAGATTCAGGCAGGTTGAAATGGGAGAAGCTGTGAAGAGCTTTTGTAAGCTGAGAATTGCAACAATTACAAAGCATCTTCCTTTTTCCTCTGAGTATTTGTTCAGGTCAAAAAGAAATGTGTAGACAAGGTGAAACACACAAAACCTCATAGGTGTATTGTTCCCACATAAGTTAAAACTCTTGACTTTTGTCAGGAACCACCCCTTTCAGTCCAGATGTAGAAAAATAAAATAAAAATTTATTTTGGATTTTCCTGCCCCAAACTCAGAACCATATAATAATAATGGATTTTGTGCAAATGCTGGAAAGAAACAAGGGGCAGCTATACAACCAGCTGCTCATGAAGATAATTTAATGATAAATTCCCTTTTTTAAACTAATAAGGCCAAATTTTTAGATATAAAAAGGAGTATTTTTGGAATAAAGGGAGAATCAAGAGCCAATCTGGTGTAGTGGTTAAGGCATTACGTACGAAACTGGGAGATCATTAGTTCTAGTCCTGCTTTAGGCACGAAGCCAGCTGGGTGACCTTGGGCCAGTCACTCTCTCTCAGCCCTAGGAAGAAGGCAATGGCAGACCACTTCCAAAATCTTGCCAAGAAAACTGCAAGAACCTGTCCAGCAGTTGCCAAGAGTCAAGACTGACTCAAAGGGACCAAAAAAAGAAAAAAAGGAGAAATAAGAACAAGAGAACACAAGAATTACATTGATAGAATTTCTAAATAAAATCTGTAAAACCAGCCTAACTAAACTACTTGCTCGAAAGAATCTTGAGTTTCAGGACAGATGCAACATTCTCAGGCAACCGATGTTCTTCCACAGAATGAATAACACCCATCTATACCCATCTAAGTCCTCATACCTCCCCTCCCCTTCCCTCCCCTCTCTCTTCCCCTAAGGGCCAAACTCCAAAGAGTGTGGCCCTGACAAAACAAAAATATGGTAATTGTGATTATTCCCCATATATTCAATTATTCTCTCCCCTTCCAGTTTTCTGTTCTATTAACAATTACAATTCAGTGGCAAGATTTGGGGGGCTCTGGGGAGTAAGCCCAATATGTTTAGGGACCCTAAACAGGTCGTGCACCCTTCATCTAAGTATATGTGGTTTCTTCTATATGGCTGAAATTTTAAACATAATTTTGATTAAGCCCTGTTGAACTTGGTGGCACTGTCATGATCTTTAGATATAAGCTTTGTTCAGTATTGTGGGTGCCACTTCTGAACAAGCGTGTAGAAAATCTGGCTTTAATAATGTAAACCTCTATGATCCTGTCAGAAATTAGCCCCTCTGAATAAGATCAAGGGGATGTTTCC